ACATCTTAACGTGGTAGCGCTGCAAGAAGTGAGGTGGACAGGCACTGCTTATGTGAAGAAAGAGTGTTCGCATTATACTACAAAGGGACAGAACCAAGATCCGGACAAGCTGAAACGGAATTCTTAATAAGGAAGGTTATGCAAAGTCATCTGATTGGTTTTACTTCAATAACTGAAAGACTAAGTAAGGTACGACTAAAAGGCAAATTTAATAACATCACCCTGATAAACGTATATGCACCAACTATCACGATACTGAACAGAAGGAGCAGTTTTATGAAGTATTGCAGCGGACTATTGAACAAATTCCGAAGTCCGATATTCTGGGGTTGCTCGGGGGCTGAAGTCATCCATGGCAATTTTGCATGTTGATGGAAAATCTTAGATAGAGGTTGATTGTCTGTGACACGTTTAAATTGACGTCCGAATAAATATGAAAAAATCTGTCAGTTCCAAAAACAATTGCTAGAGCTTCTCTATCCATTGAGAATAATTTGGTCCTGCTGGGGTTTGTGATCGAGATGCTAAAAAGTATTTTGTTTCGTCTTTTGATTTTGGTTTTGGTTGATGAGTCTTTTGTGTGATGGCTTTGATTTTTTCTGGTGACTTCGAACTTTTATTTGATTTCTATTCGATGTCGTGTCCTAGAAACTCGATGCGTTGTTGAAAAAATGAGCATTTCCAGCGATTCAAATGTAGATCATATTTCCTCAGCTGTTCAAGGTACAAGATCAAGTTAGTCTCACATTCTTCTTTTGTTGATCCATGTACATTAATGTCGAAATAATTTTCATTCTTCGGGATGTTTTTCACAATTTGGTCGATAATGCGATTGAATTCTGATGGCGCTTTTTCTTACCAAAGGAGAGGCGATTCATTCTGTAAGTCCCTCGATGTGTTGATATTGTTTGAATTTTACTCGATTGTTCTTCCACTGGAATATGTATATAGCCTTCATACAGGTCCAATCCACAAAAATAGCGGGAATCATGGAGACTACTCAAAATTTCGTCGATTTTTCGAATGGGGTAATGTGCGTCCATAAGTTGCTGGTTCACACCAACTTTGTAATCGGCACACAGTCGAACTCCTCCATCAGCTTTTGGAATGACAAGTGAAAATCCCCAGTCGCTGGTTTCAGTTTTTGTAATTATCTCTGCTTCTTCGAATAAATTCAGCTCTTTCTCGACTCGACTGAACAGTGAATACGGAATTTCTCTTTCACGATGAAAACTCGGTGCACTTTTAATGCAACATTGAAATTTGGCACACGTCCAATCTTTTCTTCGATAAGTTCTGAAAATTGTGTCATAATTGCATTGGTTTCATTGATATTACTTACAGCGTTTGTTTTGGTTGATACTTGGCTTTGTTGATCGAGTTCTTGTAAATTGATGTTTAATTTTCTGATCCAAACTCGGCCTAAAGGAGCGTGTTATTCTTCCGGAACAATGAAGATTTCATCTTGGATGTTTTTCCTGTTGAATTCGACGTTGACATTAATTTTACCATCTGGAACGAAGACATCATGCGTGTACGATCGAAATCGTAGAGGTCTTGACTCGAGTGCGACATTGAATTTGAAATCGGCGAACTTGTTTCGAGGCAACATCGTATAACCGGCACCTGAATCAACTTCGAATTTGATTAATTTTTCTTCAACTTTAACCTGGGCCTAATAGCGTTTCAAATTATCGTTTGGGGTTCGAGTTTGGTGGCTGTCGACAATTTGAAATGATCCATACCTGTTGGGTATCGTATCCAGTTTAATTGAATCAGCCGATTCTTCCAGTACAGAATGAGTTTGTTTTGATTTTCGATCTAATAAGGATCGGATACATACCTTAGAAATATGACCGATTTTCTTGCACTCAGAACATTTGAGAGTTGATTTATTAGTGCGACAGTCGTTTACAAAGTGATTATTTGTTCCGCACCTCACACAGTCCATCGATGCCCAATTTAGCGTAGTAAATTCTAGATTCCCGTTTCCTCGAACTTGATCGATAGCGCGATGGGTTACGTTGATGTTTTGTGTGGTTACTTTTCTTCGAAATTTTGACTTTGTTGATATTAGCTGTTGATGTCGTTGCAGTGGTCCTTTGAGCGAGTTCCATTGAGTTGATTTTTGAAGCTTCAAGGGTTATTGCTTTAGTCACAATATCTTCAAAACGTTTTGTTTCCGATTGTACCAATTGCTCCCTCGTGGAGTTGTCCTTTATTCCTCGAATAAACTGTGCTCGAAGAAAAATGTCTGCAACGGAAATTTCGCATGACCATTCTGAAATAAAATGACAATCTACGATGTCCGCTCTCAAGTTTGAGACGAACTCTGCAATCGATTGATTATCAGATTGATATTTTTAAAAAAATTAATGTTGAGTCACAAGAACGTTCTTTTCTGTGGATAAATGTTTTTCTTAAAGTTTGATTAATTTATCGTATGTTTGTTCTTTTGGCATTTTTGGTGCTGACAATGCTGGTATCATGTTGAAATATTTCGCACTGATAGAATTTAAAAGTAACTTCGCACAGTAATCTTTGTTATTGATGACATTCATCATTTCTAAATAATTTTCGAAAAGATATCTATAATTTCGAAACGATTCTCTTGTTGGATCGAAATATTCAAAATTTGGCAAAAGAGCAGTATTTACCGATATTTCTTGATTTGTTTTCACTGGCTGATCAGTGTTTATTACTATTATTTTCTCGAGCATTTGCTATTGAAATTTCGTAAATTCAGAAAATTGTGTTGCATCCATTGTGCTGTCTGTTGTTGAATTAAGTTGTTTTTATTACCTTCAAGCAGTGAAGCGAGCTACTCGATCCACCCACGATCACCCCTTGTTGGCAATGTAACATATACTTCCTCTATTAAAAACTGCTAGAAAAAAAAATTATTGAAATTTGTTAGCTCTCGAAATATTGAACGTGATTGTTACCTGAGATCCTGTGCACGCGTATGAAGTTGAGGTTAAGTTTTTGTCGCCTTCTTTAGTGTAGATATTTTCTTCGATTATCCTGGTCGAATTGAATTTATGTTTCAATTTTTATTTTTTCTTCACCTCGTCGCCAATTTGTTGTCTCTTTGATTGTTATTGGATTGCTAAAGGTATAGAAAAACACTACACTATCCGATTCGTTTCATGGTTTTATTTGAATTAAAATTAAACTGTACAAGTTGCGTCAGGTAGGAAAACAAACTAGCATTATCGTTATAATAAAATGGAGAGTCACGGCCCAGCTCCGAGATGACGCCATTGTGCACCAATGAATATGAAGAGATGATGCCAATTCGTGTCCACATGTTTTTTTTGTCATGACAATACAATACAAAATTAGGAACTGATCATATCGCTATTAATTGTGGTGCTACTGTAGCGACATCTGGCGGTTCAATTCGGTGGTTTTCGCAGAGTGCAATACTGTTTCGTAGTTTCTGAGACTGGTTAGATCAGGGGATCCCAGCCCCTTTTCTTTCTTCGATCCCTTTTAAAAACAATGGTTTTCTTCATCAACCCCTTCATTTTTTCTATAATATGCATCATACAAAATTATCGTAATATTAGTAATTGTACATAACTAGCGTAAAGATAACAAATAGAATAATATTAACAAAGTTTGGAAAATTGGCCACATTTATTTTTAAATTTTTATACTATTATTATTTTTAAACTTACAAATATAAACAAGTTTTCAAAATGTGCTCGTGGTACACAGCGAAGTCGTTTGCCTCGAACCAAGGACGTCGGGTTCGATTCGTAGATAATCTCACGTGAAATTAATTCCAACAAAACGATTTTTCATACTTCATAGGGGCTAGTCCAACCCTTGGGAAGTGTCCTAAACCATACCCATATCCTAATTACCTCCCTTATGAGAAATTGAATTTGCAAAATACTTTAACACCTAATTGCTTCTTCTAAATTGATTTTATCTGGCGGCTCTCTCGATTTTGTGTAGGGGCTCCGGAGAAAAAAATACATGACTTAATTCTTGCATGGGGATCTCTCTATTATTATTATTATTATTATTATTATTATTATTATTATTATTATTATTATTATTATTATTATTTTGCTTTGCGCCCTTTTAAATAAATTACAAAATAACACTTAAGTTACCTTAACTAAAACATTTTTGAAAAAAAAATCTTGGAGATTTAATACATGGACATAAAAACATAAAGATATAGATATTCTCCACAAATTCACAATAACATATCTGAAACGAAATAAATTGTTGACTCTTCAGATTTCGTTATTTCTAAATTTCGTTACACTCGTTAGATTTGGAGAATTGTGGGTGCTCTAACACGTATAGCAATTATCAGAGGAACTAAATTGGATTCCTCCATGAGACTAGGCAACCAGTAGCAACAATCGCAAATATCCCGAAATTTCGCGTGGTGGCCCCTTTCAGATCTCCCGAAAATCGTGACGCGGTTCCCTTAGGGACAGCGGACCCCAATTTGAGAACATATTTCTGAAAATAAAGGAAATTTCGAAATTAAAAGCTGCTTCAATATAGTATTGAATAAATTGAATTGTGGTCTGCTATTTGTTATAATGAATTATTGATAAGGGAGTTAACTTTCGTTCCGTCATTTTTGAGGTGTTTCAGTCAGAAACGAAGTTTTCTGTTCCGTAAGTTTTGTAAAGTTTGAACTACTAAAGCCAGTTAGAAACTAAAGAGTTGTGTCATTCGTGGGATAAAACAAGGAATATTTTTCAAATAAAAGGTCTTAAAAGCAAGGTGCAAGTTGACTGAGACGATGCCAGGGATTGTCTCTTTTGGAGCATTTGATGTCCACTGATGGAAAAAACAATAATTTATTCTCAAGAATTCAGTTGATCTACGTGAGGAGCCTTGTTTATGTTTTCCAAAACTTGAAAACACCAAATCAAATAATTCAAACCAAGGAATTCAGACAAGAAAACATTACCGAGAGCAACTTTAGGATTCATTCGGACTTTGCTGTATTAAGCAAAGCCACCGTGGCGAAACTGTTCGACATGCCTATCCTCATTTCTTCGATTCATCCATTCCAGGAGTTTGAAACAGGTTTTAAAAGTCCCTCTATGGTAAATATTGGGTGTTCACACTGCTCAAAACCATGAATATATTGTGTAAGTTACAAGTTACTTTTTCTTCCAGAATGTGCGTCCTAATTTCCTTGTTTCTCCGATGAAATATTCACGCGATTGGTTTTCATAATTTTGACTCAATGTAACTGACTCCCACGCAGTGAGTCGCGTGAATGTCATTAGATACGAGAAGCGCCAGGGTATCCAAGAGAATCGAGAATAAAGATGTTATGCTCACTTGAGGTGGATTATTGAGGAATATCTGGAGAAATGTCGTTCAAATGTTTACGTGTGGTATCGTGGCGGTGATAAAACATACATTGTTATTGTGATTGGTTGAAAAATGGACAGTTGGTCGTATTGAAGGTTATATATTTACTTATTCATATTATTTTCGATATTTGCTAGTTCGTTTCTTTCAGTATAGAACACTGACATTCTTAGAACGTATTGTGATGATTAAGTGAAGGCTTTGCAGTGACTGAAAGTTGCGACGTGAAATGTCATGACAATATGCCAGTATGTCGAACTGCTATGTTTCTGTTTTGTGTGTTATGGTGTTAGCAGTTATTGTGACTTCTAATGAGCTCATTAATGGCACAACGTAAGTATACCTGTAAAGTATTAATTCACCGCTTTTATGCACCTATTTCTTATTATTACTGTATTACATAAAAGGGTTGTTTTGTTAGTAGTATTGGTAGAAAGAAATAGTGTTGGATGTAGTCAGTCAATTGTCAAACTGACCAGTGAACTTTCTTATGAAAAAGCTTGAAGTAGTATAAATTAAACACTTGAAAAAAGTGAGAAATGTTTACAAATATGAATACAATTGAATTTCAGGAACTGCATTGGTGTTGACATTCGTTGAAAGTGAAACATAAATTTGATGGTGAGGTTAGAGTGTCCTAAGTCATGGACATCTCAAATAGATATTGTTGGCAAATTGTGATGTTCTCAGTCACTAATGCTGTATCAGATTAGGAGAAAGAAGACAAGAGTGAAATTTTTATAAATTTAACACGTAGATATGATTTGTATATAATAAAAATAAAAGTATGTTGGGGTTACCCACAACAAAAATAAGTGCATTTTTTCGGGGAATTTATTGAGAAACTAGCACATTTTAATTTAAATGTGTTTCTAAAATAGTAATCACTTACAAAACTGTATGATATATCCCTGATATCAATGTATTGATGTGTCGTTTGAGTGATTCCTTTGAGATTTTTATGTGTCTTTTGCGATTTATAAGTATTGGTCATGGAATATGATATTTGAAAGATTCAATTAGTATATTTATTTTCAGCTTCAGTGTATTTATCATCACTTCAATTATTGGCCCATAAAAAAATATTTTCAATTGGTTCTTTTTCTTGCCTTTAACTCAAACCAAATTATTAATTACATTTTGCCTAAAATCTTAGTAGGATGTTGTAAATTGTAGTTTGCTTATCATTTTCCTGTTTATATGTATGGAAAGGGGTCTGTTAACAGATTAATTTTTTATATAGATATCTGAAAATGTATCATATGTCAACTTTGAAAATTCAACATATCAAAGAACTTGTTAGGAGTGTATTGTAATTTGTGAGTATTATTTTAAAAGAATAATTGAAATTGCAGGTTTCAGTTTTTTGAGAGTATTTTTAATATTTCGCTAGGTGCAAAATCCAAAGCAATGATTTTTAATTATTTTCCTTTTTTTGGTTAAGCATTCATAAACTGATAGTAATTTTTGAGGACATTGCATAGTTACAATTAATTAATTGATTTATTTTTAAAACAAGAATTAACATTTCTTATAAAAATATCGCAAAAGATTCTAATAATTTTTATCTTGTACCAAAATGAATAAGTTAATGGTGTTTGGTTAAGTTATTTTTTGTGAAGGTGGGATTATGTGCTTAGTAAGTTATACATGACAGAATGTACAGTCTACTTGACCAACCAACTAACCTACAATTAAATGCAGTGAATTTAATGTTTTTGAAATGTTCTCTGCTCAACAATAATCACACAATTTTATTTCCACTTTCCTCTAAAATAATTTTTATGACTCAACTGCCTTTACCCAAACACAATTATATTTATCCTACAATCAAATAACAATAAAAACAACAATAATAACAACTACATTATTATCTGGAGCTTATTCATTTTTCTTGAAAATGCACGTGCACTTATGGATTGTCTCTTTATATTTAAGGTATAAGGAAAAGCTGATTGAAAATTTGAGGATCTTTGGTTGATACTTAATTGAGTAATTTTTTAAAAGCCTTTTTTTTAACATACGTTGTTATCGCTAATAGCTGTTCTTTGGTATTAGACTGATGAGGAAAGTTGATCTCTTTGATTCTTTGCTAATTACTAAGGGGAGGATTTTTATGCCCTAAAAAAAAACTTGAAATATGCTTTAAAAAATTTGATTTTATGACCTAACAATTCTGAAATATTACCTTTAATATGCAATTAAAATTTACAATATTTCATTTCCTCTTTTAATCCTTTTTGGTAAAATTCAAAAGAAGCATTCTTGGAATGAAAGTATATATTTTTGTGCGAACATACTATAATTTAACTTACATCGTGAGAGAAATAATTGAGGTAAATATTCACCCTAGTGAAGTACATTGAACGTTTTATTGCATTTCTTCTGACTGGTTTAAAAGTATGTTATCAAGAAATATCCTACACTTTCCCAAGTATTTTATTATCTAAAAGAAAAGAAAAAAAACGCACACTGTTACAAGCTGTTTCGAATCAGTGAACGCTCACAAATTAATAAATTCTATTAAAAGATGAAAAGTTTTATAGATAAGTCACTATTTTAAATTGGCCAAGTGTGCATAGCATATTAATCTATATTGCATCATATTCTAACCAAATGTTAAGAAGTTTTACTTAGCTCTGAAGCAATGGAGATAAATATACAAAATCATAGAAATCCGCTCCCCACTAATTACATACTTTTGCATCATTCACAGGGGGGAACCTTAAGTTGATGTTAAGGAGTGTCTTTATTTAATCTAAAATTAAATAAAACCATTTTTTCGAAGATTGTTGTTATTGTTATTACCATCACCATCACCATCACCATCACCACCACCACCACCATCACCATCACCATCACCACCATCACCACCATCACCATCACCACCATCACCACCATCACCACCATCACCACCACCACCACCACCACCACCACCACCACCGTCGTCGTCGTCTTCGTCTTCGTCTTCCCCTAAAGTCACGACCAGATATGTTGCAACCAGCTTTCCAAACAGGAAATGCAGTGCCTGGGCGCTTCTAAAAGGGTGGCTACGAACCTGGAAAACCAGGTATTGTAAGGGAATTTTTTATCTAATGGAAGATTCATAGGATGTTTTATTACCAATGGAAGTGTTATTTTTGATGTACAGTTGTCTCCGGTTGTAGTGAACTGGACCCGTTTAACTGGTCCCGTTTAACTTTATAAATGAGCATAAGAAGATTCGGTTGTGGTGAGCTGGAACCTTGTTTGTAGGAAGTACTACCTAAAAATTAATTCCCTCCTGGAAAAGAATATATCGCCTCATTGCCACAAATTCAAACACTATGACTCTTGAAAATAATACCGGCCAAAAATCATAATCGAAGAAGTCTCCTCTGAGGTGAACGTAGCGCACCGGGAATGACGACTTTATGCCACTCAGTTTCAAGCTTGATGTTACATGATAATCCGTGGGTCAAAGCGAGTTGTATTCTACGTAAGCGACAGGAATCGCGCAACTGACACAGCCTCCCAATACCCTCCGTGCCGTGCAGAAAAGTGATCAGTTTCATTAACCGCTTGCGCCTTACCGTATCAAGTATGGCGAGAGCACGAACTCTGGAGAAGGATCTAGAGAAATTAGAAATGAAAAATGTACGAAGCAACCGATTCAAAACTATTGATTTTTTAAAGGACAAATAAAGATATTGGAATTTCCATCACGTGCTGTCAATGTATTTTCTGTATATGTACATATATTAATAAAAAATCAATAATTGTGGGGAAATTCTATTTAGTTTTGACATCCTCGGATATAGCGAACCACTGACATAGTGAATCAAAAATGTCAGTTCTCAGTAGTTCACTATAACTGGAGTCGACTGAATGTAAAATAAATTGTCATAATTTAGGCGATGAATGGTAAAGGGCATAGGATCGAAATACTGTTCTGAGAAAATTGCATTCGAAATTTTGTTCATCGAATAATTCAATGTTGAATTCGCAGTAAAAAGGGCTTCCTATAAAAGGTGCGATATGTATATGATATTTTTATAATTTTCGAGCTAATGTACCTAATCGTATTGGGATGCCTGCCACGGCGGCCTCTCGGTCCTCTCGGGGTGCATCGCTTGGCTGGAACCCGTATTTTTAAACAGTCCGTACTTTTATGTTATCAAAACGGCATATCAAGGCCGAACATTCTATGGTAGCAGCGGATCGCAGACAAATGCTGAAAGTTTTCTGCAATTTTTCTTTGTAATAGCCCACATTTCTCTCATCCAAATGATTTCCTTCAGTGTTAATCAGTACGGTCGGTTTCACGAGATTGAGCAATTCTTAAAACCTTTCTTTGAACATAGGCAAATAAATATAAAACAGTCCTTTATGGAATTGACACACTGTTGAGAGAAATCACCAAATTTCTCTCGTCTCTGATTAATTCCGGGTCCCCTTGTCTTTTTTACTTTCTCTCCTCACTACATAAGAAGAGAAAATATTGTAATTGTGTACAGGAAATTGGCGATTTTTCGACAGAATACTTGGCTCCCCTGGTATCGAGAAAGTGAATACATCTTATTCTTATTGCATTAAATTACTCCCCCTTTGTATGTAATCAGAATCCATGATTTGTTGGTCCTTGTTGCCGAAAAACCGATTGACGGTAAAATATGTTTGTCCGTCTGTCTGTGGTCAACGCTAGCGCCTGAATCGTTCAGACGATTTTCTCCAAAATTGATATTCCCCGATCGATGTGAAGGAACTCGTAGCCCTGTTGCTTTGAAACCTATTTTTTTATTTTTAAGAGAACTGGACATAAAGCCACATTTTTAAAGATTTTGTAAAAATGTAGCTGGATTTTTTAAAATTAAACAATGTCCTAGCGTAGAGAACGAATAAAAGAATGGCGCAGGTTTTACTTTGTTTTAAATATTTGTTTTTGGAACTAAGTTCAGTTTTTCTAGGCGTCTTTCTACAAGTACAATATTGAAGACGAAGATGTTTTCCACAATGAAATATTATCTTCAGAGTCTTGAAATAAGGTCATTTAAAATTTGTCGACAATATACATATTTTCCGCGTAATTTTGCGTGAAATATGGGCAAGTTTTAAACAATAAATTTGTCAAAAACAGGTCCACGTTTTTTTCTTTAAATTTTCTCGTATTCAGCAAGAACGGTATAAAATTGGGGCTTGCCCATATAGCAAAAAAAATCCTTGAACTCAAGGGTTTGCAAGTTTAAAATGAATATTTTGATTTTTGAGGGTACTGCACATGCAGCCTTAACATTTTCCATTTTTTCTTTCTTTCAAAAATGGCTCGTTTTCGATTAACCTTTGTCCACTGTAAT